GTCCCTACAACGGTTAGACTCAAACGAGAGCTGAGCAATAGGGCCAAATCCAACACTCTGAGATTATTTAACCCTGATCACATGTGACTTGACGTATTCACCTAATGGCTAACTCCCATCACTCAGAGTCCCAAAAAGAACAAATCAAGTAGCAGTCAGATAGAAAGGTAAGTCTAACCATAACATAAGCAATAAATCACATTCACATATCAAGAATCTGCACTAGCATGCGACATAAGCTCATATAATCAGGCATAACCTAATGAGGCTATCCTACCACTATCTAACCTGTACTAGCATGAAGCTCAAATAACACATATAACAGGCATTTAAGGCATCCTTCCTAGATCATTAGCCCTAAACTAGCATGATGATCTCATAATCATATCATAGCATAAACTTGTATGGGTAATTTGGGAGAACTTAATTGAGCTCGACTGATTGCATGCACCACACTCTTTTCTCCTTTCAAAGTTCTTTTCACTTTTTAGGGTTTTTTTCTTTTCAAAAAATTGTTTTCCTTTTTCCCAAACTCTTTTATATAAATGATTCTATTTAAAAAAAAATCTCATACCAAGGCCTTGGTTTGAGTACGGACACACCCAAGAGTGTACCCGGATCCCTTAAACCAAGGCTCTGATACCAACTTGTAACATCCCAAAAATGATGACCAAAAGTTTCTTTTTAAAACATTAATAAAATCATAAGTATCAAGTCATTGCATCCATAACAAAGGTTGATATATATCAAATCTGAGTATCATCTCAAAACATGATCTTTTTATCAGAGCAAAACATCACAGGCTAAAAGTTCTTGGTGTGTGCAATGCGATCATCCTGAGCTCTTCCTTCCGCTACCGGAAGTACCTGGAACCAAAACTAAAAACCGGAAGCAAGAAGCTTAGTGAGTTCCCCAATCTAACACATACCATACATAAACACATACTGCAACCATTGGGCCTAACCCACTACTTCAGGCCTCGCCCGAAATAGGACGAATTCGACATCAGGCCTTGCCTGGCATCGAGCCCCGCTCGGTATACATATCTGTTTCTCTTAGGCCCCGCCTGTCTTTAGGCCCCTCCCGCTAAACATAAACAAACATAGACATAACACGTAACACATAATCTAAACATATTCTACTGAAATATTGTTCTAAGGCCTCGCCTATATTGGGCCTTACCCCTATCTTGCTACTGGTGAGTCATGGAACCCCGTCTACGCTCCTGTTGATAGTGAGATACGCGCCCCCACCCACACTCACTCTCTCCTATATCGGGCCTCGCTCCTGTCCGCTACTAATGAGATACGTAACCCTGTCCATACTCAGCTAGTGATGAGATACGGGGCCTCGGCCGCACTCACCTCCCTACCAGACACATACACATACAGGTATCACAGAGACAACAAGTATAATCTAACATACAATGTGAGAATCTTCCTCGGGATTGCCCCGACATCGGACCCCCGGCCCGGAGACATACTATCAACTAACATACTATGGGCTTACCTCGACATCGGACTCCCGGTCCTGAATCTATCATACCTACTCATGCAAGAATCACAAAGACCTCTAGCATTCTAACCTTCCTCGGGCCTTGCACGGCATCAGGTCGTAACCCCGAACATATACAATAAGTGCCTAGGACTAACCCCCGGGTTTTCCTACTATACATAAACATGAACATAACGGGCCGACATTGGTGCCTTAAACCTATACACACAGTGAGGAGACTCACCTCGCACGACTGAACATGGGTTGAAACACCTCTGGCTGGTATCTAACAATCCCCCGAGCTACTGCTACCCTAGCTCCCCTATCTACCAATACCTTTGGCTGTTATCTAACAATCCCCCGAGCTACTGGACCAAAATCTTTATAAAATGGACTATGAAGAGATCTAATTAATTAAAAGCTAAGATGAAGACTTGATTACCAAGAAATGCAGCTATTGGAGTGTATCTTTTGGATCTACTTCCTCCTTCTTGAACCTTAAACTTCTTTCTTCTCCTTCTTCCTCTTCAAGAGCACAAAAATCACACAAAGGTGGATTAAACACTCACAAGGTGCACTAGGGTTTCGTGGGTGAGGGTTTGGGGTCTGGGGTCTGAGGGCTGAAGATGAGGCTGAGGGAATGAGAATATGATGCCACTACTAGAAAAACACCCTTTTACGACGCTCATTGCGCGTCGTAAAAGGCTCAAACGACGCGCAAATGCGCGTCAAGGAAGGCCCTGTCATAAAGAGAGACTGCGCGCATTTACGATGCTCATTTACGACGCGCAATTACGATGCGCGTTTACGACATGCAATGCGTATCAAGGAAGGCCCTGTCATAAAGGAAGACGACACACATTCGCGTGTCGTAACCTTACGACACGCGTGTTAATGACACGCAATGCGTATCAAGAAAGCCCTTGTCAGGAAAGGCCATGTCATAAATGAAGATGACACACATTTTATTTATATATATATATATATATATATATATATATATATATTTATATATTTATTAATTTATAAATTAAATTTGCATTTAATGTGTCATAATAGAAATAAAATACCATATACAAAAGAATACAATCCATTGAATAAACTTTAATGCAATACAATTCTATTTCTTACAATATATAATTTTGCATTCATCTAATCTACTCTATGTTTCATACTAACAATTGAAATGAAGAATACAACACTTGAATTTTCAACATCTTATCTCTTTCGGCTTGAGCTTTCTTTTCCACTTCTAACTCGAGAGCTATTCGCTTTCATCAACCCTGTAAACACAACAAAAAATCACTTGTCATTTTGATTCTACTTTTATGTTTACTAGTCAATCCTTCAACTTTCTTTACTAATTAGATTCACCTGGAACCAATATTGCTGATGTTTACTAGTCAATCCTTCAATCTATCATATGAAGTATGAAAAATATGAACAATAGGAAATGGAAGTTCAAAATGCTAACCAAAAATCCCAGATATATAACATTATGCCCTCCTGGTGCTTGTCCTCTTGACAACACAACTCCTATCTTCAAGGCATATCGTGATTCATTAGATTCACCTGGCACCAATATTGCTGATGGTTGCCCAAACAGGGATGGGAAAAGTTTTGCAATTTCATCTGAAAGCATTTGAACAAGCACAACTAAAGTCATAATCCTTCATCTTTACACTCAATCTGTGCAGGTGATCAGATGTGTTTTGCAATTCTTTTATGTGATTTTGGATTATAAAAAAAAAAAAACCAAAACAAATCTCTAATTTGTTTAGTAACGGTTCGTTTTTACAGCAGTTTCACAAGGTATTTATCGTAAGCAGTTAACTTTAAAACTCAAAATGCAAAATTCGATCATAAAACCTAATTAACATCTACACACAATGTAATAAGTTAACATAGCTAGAAAAACACTTAAATTCTTGTTTATCGAATGCAGCAGTGACTGAATTAGAAAGATTATTATCAATCCATCATTAAAAAGACTCCGATCAATTGTGATCATAGTATAAATAGTTTTGCTTTTGGGGTTGTAAATTCAATTCAGTATCAATATGAAGTGAGAAATACCTGGATTTCCGACAGCGGAGCTAGCGGGACCATCGACGATTTTGAAGGGGCTTCTAGAGCTAGCGACAAGTCCATAGGAGTGTCTTCCACGGGTGCGTACAGAGGATAAAAGATGTTGTCACAAACGTAAAAATATTAAATTAAGAAAAAAGCAAAAAGAAAAATATTATTCGAATTTTAAAAACATGCATGTGTCGACTCAGCATATGGTTTGTTAGTTTATTCATGCGATTCTTGATCCCAAGTGACACTACATCCATACTAAGTTCTTTCAGGACATCCACACTACAGCATCCTACTTTCACCAATATTTTTTTCACTCAGTTATTAAAATTTCTCAACTTACATTTTTAAATATCATCCAAATAACAACACTTACCTTATTTGCTGAGATCATTCATGGATTTGTAATGTAGGTTATCTGTCAATCTTGATCAGCTATATTCATATCAAAAGCAGGTTGCACAATCAAAAGATACAGTTCTAAAACTTCTTAGTCATCCAATACTTAGAGTAATTTACACTTTTGGTCCCTTTGTATAGACGATGTAAGGCCCTGAAGCAATAATCTGCTCAAAGATGACATGGATAGAATCAGAGAGAAACCAGATAGTAAACTTAAAAGGGTACTTTAGTAAATTGAAGAACAAGCTTTACACACTAATGATAGATCTGATGTTATATCAGATAAATCAGCAGGCTTGTTATTTTCATCCATAGCTTGTCTCTTCTTTTGAGGAATATTTTCATCATCAGGGACTGATAACGGTACATAATCAACAATATTTGTTGCAATTAAATTGTGTCCACTTGGATTATGTCCTTCAATGCCTGCCACCTATCGAATTATGTTTATGTTAAATGTTTTTTTTATCAGTTTCCATTTTTTAACTATCTACATGGCCTGGGAAAAAGGAAAACTGGTCCAGTTTCTGTAAGTCAAGGCACACACGTTGACCTCCAGAATGCTCAACTCTGTTCAAACAAGTAAAAAAGGACAACAGTAAGGGCAAATATGTCTGAAAAGAGCATAAAGATTCAACAAATATTACTTGCTTTGAAGAATGATTGGTTTTTCCTTTAAACGCCATTCTTCTTCACAGCAAATCATGCCAACAGCAAATATACTTTTTCTGATAGGGAATCAAGAGATGTAATTTGTGTTGTTGAATCTCTTCAAAGATGATAAAAAAAGAAAAGAATAATTCTAATAAAATAGAGATAGGAATTACTTGGGAAGCAACCGATGGATCAACAGGTCCCTCAAAAAGCTAAGATGCAACCATGGCTTTTGAATACTTCATGATTTTATCTTCAAGATAATTAAACTAAACTTCCAAAAACTTTAAAGTTAATGATGTAAAGCATAATCATGAGACAAAAAGCAATCAAAATTAAGAGAATGCTACGATACCTTGTCTTCTATTTGATTAATCAAAGATAATAACAACTACAGTTGTAGAAAGCCTAATAGCTAGATCAAGCAGAACATCTATGCCACTTTTTTTAGCCTGGTTTGCATTTGTAACTGAATTTGAAACAAAAAAAAGTAAAAATGCCATATGTTCCTTATGAAATATATACACACACACACAAGAATATTATTTCAATTTTCAACAAGAGAAACAAACTGATATGATTTGAATCTAAAGCTAACCTGGTTGTGATGAAGATGGGGACATTCCAACATCAAGAAGATCTTGAAGAAAGTTGTCACCTGTCATCATGCTATTTGTATTTGGTGGAGGAGGTTCTTCTCCTCCTCCTAAATCAAGCAAGTCTACTAAAGGAGCAGCAGTTGTTTTAATAACTCCATTAGGAACACTACTTCCCATTGAAGTTGAAGGAATAGAAGTAGAACCATTCCTCCTTCTACTGAAATTTGCTTCATCAAGAACTGGCATCCTTTCAACCAGTGCAAACCTTCACATACCATTACTAATTACTTCACTTCAGTCTTTTGTATTAAAAATTATCAAAATTACTATCCACAGTTCCATACCTAATATTCTGATGCTTTTCAATTATAGAATCAAATTTTGTGGATCTTTGTTGCAGTTCAAGCAGAAGGCTTCTTTTAGATTGAACAGAGCCCTACAAAAAAAAGTACAGTGAAACAGATCCCACATAGAATTTAGTTCCCTTGAGACGTCCGCCTTCGCTGTCTACATAATTCAGACCAGAGCCCTACAAAAAAAGTAACGCAGACATAAAATAACTGTTTTGCCCTTCATTTTTAATATTTTCATGATATACATATAAAGGGTATTGTATTATATAGAACTTTTCATCTCATCCCCCAATCATTACCCCAACAGAAAAACCCATCCCACGGTAAGAATAGAGAATGTTGGCAAGCATCTTTGAAGCGCCAGTCACTAAAATCCTACTCTTGTTTGCCAATTCATGCAAACAACACTGAAATTAAAAAAAATACAAATATTGCGTAGAATATTTCAAAGTAGAAGGCTGTGATATGTAAAAAGGTGATTTTAATACCTTAATGCCTAAATTTCTGTGCCAAAACTGACAATCTGCAGCTCCTCCAGCCATTGTCCCCACCTGAGTTTATAATGTTGCATCTATGAATTGAGATAACTATTAATTACAAATTTTATGGAATTTATTATGGCAAAGATCAACTTTTTCAATAATAGCATAATTTATGTCCTAAACTGACCTTATAAACACTATCAAAGGGAAAACAATAACATAATTTATGTCCTAAACTGACCTTGTGTGGAAGGCTAATGAAATCATAAGGAGCACATCTTCTATTAAGAACATCCCATATGAGATTTTCTAAAGGAAGTTTAGAATGTGAAATTCAATTTTGAACAAAGATATAACACACCTGCAACATGGAACACCAGATGCAACAACAAGTTCAAGTGATAGAAGGGTAGTGAATGGCGAGACCAATTTCAAGAAGCTTTATGAAATTTTCAGATTTGCCACAGCAGGAGCTTTATGAAATTTTCAGATTTGTAAATTCTAATTTCTAATTCTAATATTCCAATTTCAAGAAGAGCTGAATCCAACATATTGAGAGAATGGGAGAATAGGAGAAGAACATACCTGATTTCCGGTGACAGCTGTTGTGGTGGTGAATGGCGAGACCAACGAGCAGCGACTGAGCAATGTAAGGAGGTAGGGACTAGCGACGATGGGGGAGGCACTGGGTAACAACGTAAGATACAAATCGATTTTGACTTCTTGTCGCTAGCTTTGGAAATCAGACTGAAATCGGGAGGGGCACAACCCAATTTCTACACTAACAGGCCTATAATTAAAATTTTTGAAGATATATTTGCTATTTCTAACGCAAATACCAGGGGGCCAAAGCCCCTCCTGGCCCTATACATAATCCGCCCATGCTATGACCATTAGCAATCATATGGATCAGATTTGATTAGTAACTAGCGAATAATATCTCTAATTGAAGCTTTATTTTATTATAGAGGCAAATTGGAAGTTTCACGTGATAGGAAACCAGATTAAAAAAGCAATCGAGAATTCAACACATACAAGACCAAGAACAGTACCTATTGAATTTATGAGGCGACCTACTCCTTGCTGAAGCACAACCGATCCATTCTCTTCAAAAAAAAGGATATACATAGCAAGGCCAAGTACACCTTAATGAACAATTTGATTTTTAAGAGACAAACCGATTAGAGTGGAATCAGAGATTGGCGAATGGATACTGTTCTAAGGTCTTTATTTTAGGAACGAACAAGGAGGTGATGGTGCAAATTGATGACCACCAATCAAAGCCTCCGTAGAGCTCGATTGGAGTGGAATCAGAGATTGGGGAGTGGAAGAAGAGAGGATCAGAGAAGTTTGAAGTGTGAATTGAGTTTTTAGGGTTCAATTTCAAGTCAATTAGTAAAGAGTCCAAAACGATTACACCTCCCTGTACCTTACCCAATAATCGAAACCATAGAAATTGTTGAATTCTGTATGAATAAGCGACGAAGAAGCGAATTTGTGGGAAGTGAAGCGGTGGAGGTTTGAGAATCGAGAAAGAAGAAAGAAAGAAAGGGGGTTTTCAGCGGGAATGAGTTAGGGTTTTCATCTGGTGGAAACAAAGCAGGATTTTTAAATTTTGGATTTCATTTCCCCCTTGGATGAAACGCGTGTTTCATTAATATTTATAAAGCGACATAGCTAGGCGATGCACGTTTTATTTAAGGTGCCCTCCGTGTTTTTTTTATTAGACACTAATTTTTGGCACGCAAAAATGCGTGTCTACTATGCTTCATATTTTGGAAATCTGACATCAATTTTTAGGGCACTCATAAATGCGGGTCCTCTATTAGCGCGTGTCATTGATTGCGCGTCGTCAAAGGCTGTTTTTCTAGTAGTGTGCTTAAATAGGGCACTAAGTCCTGGAATTAGTGTCTCCCAACCCAGGCCAGACTCACCGAGTCAGTCCCCTGACTCGTCGAGTCGGCCACTTAATCCACAACACGGAACTTGCTCCCACTTGTCGAGTTTCTCTCTGGACTCGACGAGTAGACCTCTTGACTTGGGGTTTTCTTTCCTTGACCTTCTGAATTTGGGGTGTTACAATTTAAAAAATTAAATAGTGTGTTACAATATTTGCATAAACATAGTTAAGGTTTTTGTGAGACGTTCTTTCATTTGTACCTACCTATCGTACAACCTTCAGTCATGTAGTTATAAGAAGAATCTCCTAGAGGGAGAGCGAGAGTTTGTGTATAGATCTATACAACCCCGCACCTGAGTTGTTCGCTACATCTAGACTATGCTAGTCTAGGGTGACAAACGTCTTACCTTAAACAAGTCGACGCCTGAAAAATGTTATGACAGGCAGCTCAGTCATATCAAGTATGGTTATAAGGATTCACATAGAAATTAATTCCACTGTAACATTTACGGAATACATATACATTTTTGCAGTTACAATACTCTACAAGCACCATTTTACGGTCTTAGGGTTTAAGACAACAACACTTTTACAAGCAGAAAATATCAGATTTTCTGGGAAAACATACATTATATGCTACCTTCTACTTACAACAGAAAATATAGGATTTTATAGAATACTCTCTCTTTATACATTTACAAAATAGAAACACACATGTTGTAATACAAAATTTGATACAAAACTTTCAAATCATTTTAACTAGAAAATATCGAATTTTCTGGTGTTTTACAAAGTAATACAAACTTTTCATACAAACATGTTTATGAACTCACCAACATTATATATGTTGACCATTTTCAAAATATCTTGTATTCTCAGGAAATCATTAAGCAAGTCAGTCTTCAAGAATTCATGGATCTTGTTGTATTTTTGCAATCATCTTACTCTTATATTTTGGAATGTAATCTGTAATTCAATATACTTATGTGAACAATGATGGTTGTATTATTGTATGTGTGATGATGATGTTTGTCTTGATTCAATTATATACACTGTGATGATATGATAAAATGAAGTCACCCAAACCTCCGGACGTTCCCGCCGTTCCGGTTCGGGGGTGTGACATCTTCTAACCGTAATTTATACATGAATTTCGAAATTGTAAGACTGGTTTCTAGGTTTATTACTTTGATATTCAATTTGCATCTTCAATTAGTAAAAAACTTAGATCCAAATCAATTAGGGTTGCATGATCACATATGATTGTAGATACGCTCATAATCCATCAAATACAAATTAAATACTAAATATCATTTTTTTTTAAATCCTATATTTGCCGGGTTGTTGGGTTGACCCCTAAACCCAAACACATATTCCGAACCTAACCCATGAAATAGGCATGTTGACAGGTTGGTAGGACAAAAATCTCAACTCAAAGTCGTTTATTTTTTGTTGAGTTTGTGCCGTGTGCCAGGTTGTGTAGAGAATTGCCAACTATTCGTTCAGGTCTAACTAGGGTCGGACAAATTTTCCAGATTGAAACATGTTAATTTCTCTTAGGTCTTACCTGTGGCTAAAATTCACCTTGGATGGCATATGCTTATGTTACAGATAAATTCTGGTTGTCTGATAATATTTAGATGACAAATAAATTCTGGTCGTCTTATAATATTTAAATGACAAATTTTCAATTTATAAATTGTCGTTATTTTACAAAAAGTTAGTGTTAGAAATAATTAGAATGCACGCCCCACAAACTAATTCGAAAGGCACGTAAGAGTTTGGCATCTAATTAGTAATGCAACAGATAAGTGCATGGAAACAAAACCATAGCTGGAACACCATTTCGTGGATTCTCATTGTCACTACACGTAACCCCTTCCGGTAAACATGGTGCCTAGAGTTTTGGCAATCCTTAGAATATTCAAAGTTGATAGGTGCCCATACTTTCCACTCCATGCCCGTTAGTTTTTTTCATAGAAAACAATCACGTTCAACGTTCTCGTTTGTTTTTGTTCGAGATTAGAAAAGTGTTTTATCCAATTAGCTCTCACATGGATATCCATATTTCGCCTTTTCCCAAGATGCATTAAACTGTCTCATCTCACAGGCATCATCCACCTGGTTCTGATTCAAATCAAAGAAATAGTGGGTTGCCACGTATCACCGAGAAATTGCAAGGGGATGAAAACCGAGAGATAGCAATGGCTCCACGTCTGTTGTCCCACATTTTCATGCACCTAAATTATTTTCCATTCAAGTGCATGATATGTGGAGTGCTTTCATTCCATCATTATGGGGCTTTTAACTTCGTATAAATTCCAAAGAGTAAGGCTGGTAGTTGGTATCACTAAAAATTGTATTTCCCCTCTTCAAAAAGATTACTACCAAACAATCAAATGGGGTTTTCTCCAAAACCATCATCCAGGAAAGATTTCCGATCCATTACTTTGCCATGCAGATCACATCCATGCACCTACAGAATAGAGAAAGTGCTGAATAAAGTCAAAACATGGGAGTCCACATCATCGTTATCGAATCCAACTGCAGAAATCATTTGCAGCGGCGTGTTTCAACTGACGGAGTTGTATGAATGTTTGGATGAACTTGTCAAAACATGTCCTTCCAAAACTTCGTTAGATTCCAGCAATCAGAACATGAGATGGACGGATGAGTTACTTGATGTATCTGTTATTTTCATGGATATTTTCAGCAATATATCTGATCTCATGTTGCAGACAAAACAACATGTGAGGGATCTTGGGTGTGATCTAAGGAGAAATGGTGGTCCCAGCATCGACAGCATCATCGACAATAACACTGCCTTCAGAAAGAAACTGAGAAGAGACATTAGAACGTCTGTAGCTAGTCTGAATCAATTGGATGACATGATTGGCAACTATCCCTTGGTAGATTTTGAAAACAACCATCTGATATCGGTGATCCGAGTGTTCAGAGAAGTTAAAGCATTCACCGCTGTTATTGTGCAATTGTTGTTGAAATTCTTGGCTATTCCACTTTCGAAGACAAGATTGAGAAGCAGATGGACATCAGTCTCAAGATATATATCCAAAAGTAAAGTGGTACCAGAAGAAAAAGATGATACTAATATAAATGAGTTGCAACACCTTGATGCTGCACTATTCAGATACAGGACAAGTAACAAACTTGAATTTATCCAAATCGTACGAAAGAGACTAGAGGAATTTGAGGCTACTGTCGACGGCATCAACTCTCACTTGGAATCAATAACGAGGCACCTTATTACAACCAGAACCTCTCTTCTTAACTTCATCTCTTTCTACTAGTCAAAATAATATCAACTTGTCATGTAAATCTTATACATCTTTTGAGCATAGAGTAAATATTGTTATCTTGATACACCGATGAGCATTTTTTGAGCCAAGCTGGTGCTTTGGTGTTGAATCAACTCATCCTTGAAGATTTTATATATTTCAAAATACTCTTTTTCTTTTTCTTTCTCATTAATTTGGGGCTATTTTCAAAACCATTTCTAAAAATGGTGGTTTTTACACTCTACCCCTCCACCACCACCGATTATATTTTGATAAATATAGCCTCTCAATTTTCATAATATATTTTTTAAAATATTTTTTATACAATCAATTTCTATCTTATATGTGACAATTGTCGTTTACATTAATTAAATACATACATAAACGTCACTATAAATTATAAATAAATAAATAAACAAATAAATAAATTATGTTACATGACAAAAGCATTGAAAGGATATTTGAAAGAAAACAGCTAAGATAGATGATACATAGGAAAAACATAACAAGGATGATTACATAGGAAAAACATATTATCAATGCAGGAAGCTAAGATAGATGATACATAGGAAAAACATAACAAGGATGATTACATAGGAAAAACATATTATCAATGCAGGAGGCAGTATTCAATGGTTGATATTACATTGGTTCCTAAAATTCTAACATCTAAAAAACAAAAAATCTTGGTGAATGTCAGACTTTAAATTCATATACTAAACTTTCCTCTTGAACAACCAATATGTAATGTTCTAATTTCATTTTTTTGTAATATAATATATTATTTTGAGAATTAAATGATATATGGAGAAATATTGGTAAAATTTTTATAATGGGTTGATGAAATGAAATGGAAATGAGATATATAGTATGAGAATGTTACTCGGTCATTTAACCTGAGGGACTAATAGTGGCATGTGGCTAAAGTTATGTGGTTAGTGTGTGAAAAGGTAATATGGTTAAAATCTAAAAGTTATGTAGAGAAAATCAGATTTCTATCAGATTGTATAAGCTTCAAACCCTAATTGTATTATTCCATAAATAATTAAACAAGAAAGTATGTGTGTGCAAACAATTCAAATTCAAGTTCATATATATATATATATATATATATATATATATATATATATATATATATATATATATATATATATATATATATATATATATATATATATATATATATAGTACTTGCTAGATGTAGAGGCTCTACTCCTTATTGTTGTATATGCTTTCTTTGTTTTTGAAATACTGGGAATTGTGATAGTTGAGAAGGTTTAGGCTGAAAGCAAAGCACAAGTCTATACATTAAAAATCATACGCTTGTTGAATTTTTATACTAAATATCTATTTCAAATTTCTATTTTTTTTTTTCCAATGAAGGTGTAACAACCAAAAATTTCAACAAAATTTAAACTTTTCAAACACAACCCATTTTAATAATGTTATTACAAAAAGGTTTTCAATACATTTATTTTCAGAGTATTCGCAGAACCATATCATAAAATATAAACACGAGGAGCGGTACAATCACGCCTTCGCCTTGCCACGGTCTCCTGAAGAACCTGAAAAACATTAAACCACAACTGTAAGCCCGAAAGCTTAGTGAGATACCCCCAAAATACCAACCACATATACCATACACATATAACATGTCATATGAAAACCGATCACCGAACAACCATGCATATCGGGTCTACTGTGTGACTAGTCCGCCGTATCGGGCGTTTAGTCCACCGGGTACACCCTCCGAGTCTAGTCATGTCCCTCGAGTCTGCAGTGTGGCTGGTCCGCCCGCACCGGGCCTTCAACCCACCTGGTCCACTCTCTGAGTCTATAGTATGATTGGTTCGCCCGCATCGGGCCTTCAGTCGGCCTGGTCCACTCTTCGAGCCTCGGCGCGTCTGGTCCGCCCTCGTGGGGCCTACAACCTATCCAAACTGCTCGTTGGGCCTTCGGAACAACCGGTATGCCCTGGGTATCTTGGCCTACAGCACAAAGCAGGACCTGCCTCAACCCAACTCCAGTCCAAACAACCATGTACACATAAACATACAATCATATAACAGTTCATAGTCAACAAGCCGATCAAGCAAATCACATAACATATCATCATCGTAATCAGGATACCGACCTAACCGGTCACTAGCACATACCATCCTAACTACCAGGATGCAAACATATCAAAGCCATAACATAACAATAAATACCCGAATCTCAATCCGATAAAGGGCCGGCCTTGGTGCCTTAGACCCTGTTGATATAGTGAGGATAACTCACCTCGCGATTGCCGATACTCTGAACTGAAGAAACAGATTCTCGAATCACCAACTCACCGCAAATCCCGAACTAGCCAACATAGCACAAATACACATTAGGCCAAGCATACATCCACTTATCGAGCCAAGGCCAAAGTCCAAATCTTATACAAAGTCCAATATTGGCCCAATTTACCAAATTGGGCCCACTTCAGCAAATGGGCCTAGATCCAAGGTCTATAACAATAATTGGGCCCAAAATACTCTATCCATAATTTCCAGACATGGCCCTTAAACCAAAAACCCACAACCGGCCCAAACTCTAAGGCCCAACATTAAAGTCCAATCAAGGTGAGTACGCGGGGCGTACCCTCCTGGGTACACGGGGCGTACACTCTTATTCGCAACTGGGGATCGGGGATCTAGCCCGCTATGCGGGGCGTACTCAAGTGTTACGCGGGGCGTAACTACGCTACTCATTAAGTTCTTATAACTTCTTAATGGATTAAGCTCTTAAGCCCAAACTTCAGATCCTTAGGCCAAATATGCCTAAGATTCATAAAGTCTCAAACTTTATCACTTGGGACGTCTAAAAGCTCTTAATCCATTAAGACCTATATTTCTCACACATGGAACAACTACAACCTTTGGGACCTCATTTTTCTCACTCAAGACCTCTCCGAAGGTCTGAAAGGACAGATAATCTCGGCCAACACAAAGCATGAATCAAGATGAGGACTTTTGGGACAAGAAGGATGCTAAAACTTCACAACACTTAGATCTATGCAAAATAATTGGCAAGAAAGAAGATTTATACCTCAAATAAGCTCCAAAGGATGATATTTCTCCAGATCTACAAGCTCCAATTGTTCCTCTTCTTCTTTGACAACTTCTCCTTTCTCCTTCTAGCTTTTCTTTTGCCAAAATGAGCTTTCCAAGGCCAAACACACCCAACAATGGAGGGAATACGGGTTTCTAGGGTTTCTGAGGTTAAGGGTGAGCTTATGGAGGCTAGGGTATTAACCAACATGTTCCTTATATAGTGGTGGCCCTTAAATTAGGGTTTGGGGTTTCTGAGAGTAGGCTGGGCGTACCTTTAGTACGTTGGGCGTACTCACCTGGCCACCTCACATTTTCCTTTTACTACGCTGGGCGTACCCAGCCAAACCCAAAACTCATGCATGGCTTGCATGGAACCCCTTTTTCCACTTTTCCATTAAGAGCTATAATTAATTATCATTTTCAAAACGCTGCAACTCCTCTACTCTAAACCCGCTCCCAATAGACTTTACATTCACATGAGGGTGACGAGAAGCCCTATGCTTCTAACAACATACACCAATCCAAAACCTTCTCAGATAAAACCCATTTCCCGAAAAAGGACCATAATTACCCTTCCTGTTAAATCTCAGGGACTCATAATTAAATACTTTAAGAACGGGGTGTTACAGAAGGTTTTGTTTTTTCTTGATAGAAAACAAATAATGAAATTGGATTCCTTCCACCCTCCACGAGAAACTGTGAAATCCATCAAACATGGGAATTTGAAGAATTTCATTTTTTTAGGATCCCAACCTCCATGGAATGTATTCTCGAATTCTAATTCCAACGGAATCGACAAACATGGAGCACTTAGAACTCAATGGAGCACTTGAGATTCATGGAACATGTGATAAAGGAATATATCATCTGAGAAACGAATGGATCGTATAACAAAGGAACGGATTAAGTGCCAAAGGAATGAATCATTTAGAAGGGGGTTTAGAGCACCTGGTCAAATATTCAATAGTCAAATTCAATCCAATGTTACCTCCACGTCGTGGGCACCCATTAGTCACATCGTGGCAACTTCATAACAAAATAGTCACGAACAGACCAACCACTACGTCGTGGCAAGCAAGCCACCAAGTCTTGTCAATTACACAAAGATAGGTTAATGGATTTAGCTCTCAATCTGTAAATCTTTCAGTTCTAACTTTCGATGATGCTTCTTGGGACCATAACGGTCCATAAAAATCCAAACGTTATAGAAACTCATAACCCATGTAAGTCATTCACCCAATAAGGTCAATATATCATAAAAATGACTTAAACCATATGCATGAATCTAGAAACTCAACCAACTTATTGATCCATAAAGTATTAAGCTCAAAGGACATTGATAAGTCATAAAGTAGCAAACTTTATCTCATTTAACAATTTAAATCACAACTATGAAACAAAATACACACATAATCCTAAACCTAATAAGAAGGATCCAAAACTATTAAGTCTTGACGTGTTAAAAATGGTCCATAGAGTGGTCTTGAGTGGTCCTAAAGATAGAGAGAATTTGTTTGCTTGATCCTTGCATGATAATCTTCTTCTTCCTCCTTTAAAGTGCACCAAAAACACCAAATGAACTCAAAGCTTACAAAGAGGCTAAGGTTGATCAAGATTACTTTTGGACGTGATGGAGGTTGAGGTTGGGGAAAACCCTAGCCGTCACTTCCTTTAAGTAGGGATTTGAGCCTGAAATTTAGGGTATTAGACAACCAACATCACTACATTATGGCCATTGCATGACCATGTTTTGGTGTCTAAATAAAACATGTGTTTCTTGTAGAGATGTCATGTCATGGTGATCCCTTTACCACATTGTCGTGCACCATTTTTTCTAAATTTGACAATTGAAACTAACACTTAAAACCAGGCGTTACCGTAGAGAGCCATCTAGGTTTGGGAAGCATATGGGCAATGTGGCTGATCTCCCAA